CCAGTATGCATTGGGTCTATGAGAGACCTAGAATTCATTTTCCTTGTATGAGTCTAATTGCCAGTAAGAATACATATTATGCCATAAGCAGAGACAAAAACAAGACTTACTAGTTGTGGAGGGCTTTCCCGAAAAAGTGTTAGAGAAATATTTGCCTGCTGACCTCAAGCCTGTAAGGCAACTTATGGATTGTTCTGGTCAAAGAATGAGATTGGTAAATGCAGAGACCAAATTCTAGTTGATCCACGTAGAACATTTCCATACGTCATCTATGATAAATGTTGACATTGTTCTTTCTTAGTAAGGGGTTGTGAGAGTCTGTTACCTACAACTGAGGGTACAAGTATATCCTGTTTTTGCATGCCCACTGAATTTAAACAATTGAAGGGCACCGTGATCTCATGTATTCTGGCAATAAACTTCACTTATCCTTAGATACCCTGTCATACGTAGTAAAGAATATGTAAAACTTTGTTATGACTACCTGGTTAAATTTTATTGGTTGAAGTGGAAATTACGTACCATGAAATCACTGTTGCCAAGAAAACTTAGAAATGTTAAGTCCTATGACTGTACTCAAAAAATGTAAATTGTTTAAGCATGATTGTTTGAATTTGCTATATAAAACCCTAAGCTGAAAAATAAATTTGAGCAGTCCACCTGAAGAGGCTGGCTCCGTGTCTTCTTTCGCCGATGCCAACCATCACTCTCCGGGCCAACCCTGGCTTGCAGAGGCTGGTCCCCTGCACATGACCTTTGAGCATCTTTTAAAATGACCAATTATGAGGTGGCCTCAGAGAATCTACATGGGGCATATGCAAGCGGTGATTGATTGGCAAGTTTGTACAAAGTAACTACCTGCAGTTCCCAGCCCTGACTCGTCTCCAAGACTACAGGAATGTTACACGTTTCTTTTGATTGGCAGATCCGAGGGCGGTCAGAGGGTGGCTTCAGCTGAGGCTTTTCCTGGAACTGGGTCTACGTGCAGCCTGAGGTTGTTTCTAATGGAGGACTTAATTTCAGGCTCCTCACTGGCAGCCCCCAAACCTGCCAGAACTTTATTTAAAAAAAAAAGGCTGCTCTGGTCTCTCCCTGTTGGAGAGAAGGAATTGGGAACTCCACTGCCTCCTCTCCAGACCAAGACCTGCACTGGGGATAGGGGAGGGGTGAGAAGACAAGCAAAAATGCCACAAAACCTCCCACATTCTCAAATGTGGTTTTTACTTGGAGTGTTTGGTTGCTGAAGATCTTTTACTGTTTGCCAGAGCCTTTCTAAGGCTATTTTGGCCCATTACTAGAAGGGTTTTTTTTTTTAGTTTTGATTTTTTTTAATGTTTATTTATTTTTGAGAGAGACAAAGTGCAAGTGGGGAAGGGTCAGAGAGAAAGGGAGACAGAATCCCAAGCAGGCTCCAGGCTCTGAGCCATTGGCACAGAGCCTGACTCGGGGCTGGAACTCACAAACTGCAAGATCATGACCTGAGCCTGTTGGACATTTAACCGACGGAGCCACGCAGGCGCCCCAACAGGTGTTTTTTTTTTTTTTTTTTTAATGTTTCCAAAGAGGATTGAGGGCTTGGAGCTTTGACTCTGTCATTTTGCTCACCTCCCTCTACTTTGACTAGAAATCATAGACCACTCAATATAGGAAAGGAAATATATAAACAAAAGAAGCAAAACTGTCATTCACATGTTTTAGAATGTTCCAAAACAACAAATTCATTACTGTAATTTATAAGGGGCTTTAGGCAGTCAGCTGTAGACAAAACCTGTACTTTACAAATAATATTTTTAAAAAGATACCTTTACAATAGCTTAAAAAGTAGGAAAGACCTAAAATTAAACTCGAAAATTTGCAACTGAAGAAAAGATGTGAAGAGTTATTTCTTAGACTGAAATAAAGAGAGGTACACTTTTAGTTAGGACACAAGGGGTAGTTCCTCAGATCAGAGGGCTGAAAGCTATCTGCAGAGGAAGAGCCCAGAGGGACAAAGGCAAGGAATGAATGTGTCTGTTTTTCAGAACCAGCAGCTCCCACCAAGGAAACATACGGCCAGATGTTCCAGGATATTCCCTTGCATGAAGCAGTTTGGAGCTGAGCAACTGTGCAGAAGCCCCAAACTGCCCTAATGTTACCTTTAGCTCATTAAAACAATACCATCTCCTCTCGATATTGGAAACAAAGGCAAAAGAAAAATAACTCAATTTCCTTACAACTTACAGCTCATTAACAGGTCGTTGGGACAAGCAGGGAGACTTTCCTCTGGGAGCTCAGCTGCCTCAATGCTGCCACTTTGCCAAGGGCAAAGGGCAATCTTAGCCAGATCCCCCCCCCCCAGGATCTTCTAAGTCCCCTCCCACCCCCCCAGGATCTTCTAAGTATACCTTAACATAAAAATTCCTTTGGAAACTTCAGGTTTTACCTCCGCCCCCCAAATACATGTTAGCAACCATCCTCCAAGCATACAGCCCACTGACTTACATCTGAAGGGTCTCAAGACTGAGGTTTTATTAGATAGTAACAAATGACCTTTTCCCAACAACAGCTAGCCACCTCCAGGTCCTGGAAACCTTGCTTCCAAAATTCCTTGGAGACTTATGTTATCTCTGACACCCTCCCAACTTGAAAGTATATAATCAGTCACCTGTCACAACCCCCGTGCAGATTTCTGCCCCTGGGTTCTATTCCGTGCTTTAATAAAATCACCTTTTTGGGGCACCTGGGTGGCTCAAGTCGGTTGAGCCTCAGACTTCAGCTCAGGTCATGGTCTCACAGCTGTGAGTTCCAGTCCCGTGTCAGGCCTCCGTGGTGACAGCTCAGAGCCTAGAGCCTGCTTCAGATTCTGTGTCTCCCTCTCTCTCTCTCTGCCCTTCCCCCACTCTTGATTTGTCTCTCTCTGAAAAGAAATAAACTTAAAAAAAATCATCAGCACAGAGCCTAATGCAGGGCTCCAACTCACAGACTGTGAGATCATGACCTGAGCCAAAGTCAGACACTTGACTGAGCAACCCAGGCACCCTAATAAACATTTTTAAAAATTAAAAAACAAAACAAAACACTTTTTTGCACCTAAGACGTCTCAAGAATTCTTTCTGGGCCATTGGCTCCAAACCCCCACATTTCCACATCGATGTACTCCTATGTGAGGGTTTTGGGCTTTTTTAAACATAGAACATCTGCACTACCATGTTGACAAGCTATTTATGAGCTAGATATTCATAACTGAACCAAACTGCCTAACAAAATATGTATTAAGTTCCCTAATGTATAAAGCACTCTGCCCCTGTCCCCTAGCACACTGAATAAGAAGCTTCCTGCACTAACCCCAAATGGAGACAGTGCTTTGAGAATTATCTTCCCCTCTGCTTACCTGCTGCAAGTAGTAAAAACTTTGCTCCAACCAAAAGACTTGGACTCGTCTATTGACTCATGCACTACAATGGGGAAGAACCGTTGTGACGGGTAAAGATACCACAGTACTGGATTGTGAGAATTAATATTGTGAAGACTTCAATTTTCCCAAGTGAATTTACAGATTCAATGAATCCATTGTCTCAGAATTTTTATTTACAAATTGGCAAATATTCATGTGAGTTGATTACAGCCAAAACACTGGAACAAAAATTCATAGGATACTTATTCTATCTTATGAAGATTTCATTTCCTACTACATTAACACGGGGGGGGGGTTCCCGTGACCCTATTCCTTCCTCTAACTGCCTCCATACATAACTCAAATACTTCTGAACCTGCTCTTTCACTTGTTCCCCTAACACTTACCTTTAAAAAAGCTATATAATTGTATCCATGTATACAATTGTATACTATATAATTAATATATATAAATTGTATTATATATAAATAATTGTATCCTACTGTTTGCTCCCTCCTGCCCCCAACTAAAAAAACAACAAACAAAAAACAGTTATCGAAAGCAATTAACTTAGTTTCATTCACTGACGTATTTCCAACCACTTACACTGCCATTTGGCACATGCCAGGGACATGATACACTTTGGTTGAATCACTGAAGGGAAAATAGGTTTGTTCTCGATGGTTGTCTACTTGCCTTACTATCATTATACTTACTATCATAAGACACCACTCTCGGTGATTTTCAGTTTTCTTCCCCAGAAACCCAGATTCACGGCCTCACAGCCGAAAGAGTCAGACCCGGAGCCAGGGGGTGGGAGCTGGACACGTGACAGGCTCGCCCGGCCCCGCCTGGCCGACAGCCGCCGAGAACTACACTTCCCAGAATGCTTGGGTCCTCCCTTGAACTACATTCCCCAGAAGCGTTGCGGCCGTCCCTAACCCGCCTCCTTCCCCACCTCTCTGGACCTGCGCGGGACGCTGGGTATTTGCTGCCAGAGCGAACAGCTACGGGGTTTGAAGTCGGCCCAGCATCGCCCGGGGAGAAGTCCCGTACTCAGGCTGCTGTCCTCCAGGGCAGCGCCGGAGCCTCCGCCTGCGGAGCACGCCCGGGGAGGCGCGGTCCCCAGAGCCGCCGAGGTCCTGGCGAGGTGAGCGGCCGAGGTTCGGTGGAATGCGGGAAGGAGGACCGGGGCCTCTGAGGATGCGGCGCCGGGGCGCGGGGCACAGGCCCAAGAGGCGGGAGCGGGGCCTTTGTGGTGGCAGGAGGGCCAGGGGCCGGGCACCCCGGGATGTGTCCGCCGGCCCGGCACCGGCCGTCCCGCGCGGACGGGCCCCGGACCGCGGCAGGTCGGGCACTCGTCCCCATCGGCCCAGGCCCCGGCCACCCTCCCGCGCCCTCCCGACCGGTTCCCAGCGCGCTACCTGCCCAGCTACCGGCTGTCAGTGGACGCGAGGAGCTGTGTTTCCGCCCCTCACGGCGCCACTGCCCTCCGGGCGGCGGGCGCAGAGATGTGTTTTCCGCCAGAAGTGAGTTGTCCGCTTCCCCCCGCGGCAGAGCCTGGACGGGAACCCAGTTTTTCGGTTTCGGTGGCCGTTCCTTCAGACAGCAGCGCTGGCCGCCGCAGGAAAACTGATGTCCTCCCTTTCCGAAGCAGTTTTCTCCAAAAGTCTGGAAGAGATTCCTTGATAGGAGGGGAGTTGGGTGGGGAAAGCTTGCGGTGGAGAAAAGTTGTCCCATGCAGGCCGTGAGGTTGGAGCAGGTGTTCCGGAGGCGCGCGGTACGGATCCCGGTGCGCCCTCCCCCGCCGTGTGAACTGGGGCAAAGTGCTCCTTCTCTGCCCTCCCTCTCCTGATCTGTAGAATGGGGGTGCTGACAGTGGCAGCTGCGTTGCGGGACTGGACGGTGTTGGCTGTCCCTGGCATGCGGTGAAATTCAGGGAGTTGCTGCTGCTGCCACGAAAGTCTACGCCCTTTTTCTCTGAGCCAGAGTGCCCTCGCACTTCTCTGGTCCTGTCTGCTCCCAGCTCCTTCTGACTTCCCTCCCTGAGGGCAAGTGCGGTCATTCTCATGGGGCGTAAGGATTTCAGAGTTGGTGCTTCTCATGGGTGGCAAGCAGAAGGGCTTCTCCCTCCTGGCTCCCTTTTTCTTCTTTCAGATCTGCCTTCCGGAGGCTCCACCCATCCTGGGGGAAGAGCCCAGAAAGAAGACATGGCTATTGGACAGAGGGAAGCAAGGCCTCGGGTGAGTTCATTGCTCCCTAAAATGTAGGAACAGGGTTTTTGTTTTTTGTTTTTTGTTTTTTAATCCTCAAACTGAAATTCTCTACTCAGTACAATCTTCTGCAGGACCTGAAACTCAAGCCCTTTTTCCTGGTTCACCTTGTTAGATGGCGGACTGTGTAGGGAATGCTAACCTCCCTGCCAATGCATGTCTAACGTTTCTCTTTTCTTTTCCTAACAGACACTACTTTTTATTCATTAATCTCAATTCAGTGTCTGATTACTAACTTGACAGGTAAGAGGCCACGTGGGGGCAGAACAAACAAACATGCACACTTGGCAGTTCCTTTCTGGCCCTGCTTCCTTGGCTCGCCCTGGTCTCCCTCCCTACCCTTGGCTTTTTTCTTTCCACTCCTGAGTTTCCCATTATACTTTCCCTAGGTTTCTCCAACTCATCGTCTATAGCATTTTTTTCCTCCCTCTTAACCTTGTGGATCACGTGCCTTGCTTCTGCATTCTCTTGAACACTGTTCTGCATTCTCAGAAAACTGCCATTGTCATCTTTATGGTGTGGAATGGGGGAGGGCCCATCCCGGAGGCCAGCGCATGAACAAGGAATGGCCGTGGTGGAGGGGACACAGTCGGAGAGGTCTGTTGATTGCAAGGGCAGAGAGAAGCCTCCTCAGGAAGCAGCCAGGAGGATCCTATGGGGCGTCAGTAGTGGAGAGGCAGGGTGTGAGGTGGCTAAGAAGCGGGGCTTTCCAGCCAGCCTGCCAGGTTTGAGCCAGTCTCCTTGGTTGTTGTGTGCGGGCCTCAGACACAAGGCTCCTTCTCTCTCTGCCTGTTTCCTCACCTGGAAAGTGGGGCTCACAGCCACGCCTGCCTCACAGGGCAGGTGAGCGGATCATGTGAGTCCGTGCGCGGCAGGTGTTTACATCGGGGCCGGGCCCTTCGTGGATGGTCACCGTGTGGTGGCTATGGGAGGTGACTGATGTCCTTGCAGAAGTGCTGGGACAGATGGGAGCTGCCGTACCGTGTGTCCAGTACCCGGGAAATATGGGTCCTTCCATTACTCACCTCCATCTGGCAGTAGCAACTAATGTCGCCGTGGCACTTCTTGAGGGCTTTGCCTTTGTTCTCACTCCCATGCCTGCGCAGCAATTATTATCCCCATTTTATACATGAGGAAACGGAGGCTCAAGGAAGCCCAGTGACCTGAATTCAAACCCCAGTGTATCTGGCCTCTGGGTTCATGCTCGTTACTGTCCAGCCATCCTGCTGGTGCCTCCCTCAGAACTCGGGGCCGACCCAGCCCCTGCCTTACCAGAGCCCTTCCCGCTGTGACCAGAGTCCTTCCTACTGTGACCAGAGCCCTTCCCTGCTGTGACCAGAGCCCTTCCCCACTGTGACCAGAGCCCTTCTTGCTGTGACGCTGTGTTTCGGACCCATGAAATGCACTAGTGTCTGATATTCGGCCCAGGGCCTGCCATTGCATGTTCGAGCTGCTTTTCTCTAAGGCTCCCTCTTCCATTCCACCAGAGCCACGTTGCTGTCTTGGCCAGAATCTTCTCCATCCGTGTGTGTGAGTGAATCCACGTGGTGTTCTCCGTAACCTCACCTGCTGCCCATCTGTCAGCTGCACAGCCTTGTGTGTAGAAGTCCGTGACAGGGTGTTTAAGACCAGAGAGAATATACCGAGTGCTGGGTTAAAAGAGAACTTGAATTATTGTCCTGCTTCTGCCACTAAGAAAGTATGTGACCTGGGTCTTGACTGCCCTGGACCTTCTGGTCCTCATCTCTAAAATGAGGATTGAACTGGAAATGGCATACGATCCTGTCCAACTACACAGTTTACTTTCATTGGTTAAATCATTGCACCCGGTTTTCTTGTCTGTCAGTTTCATCATAAATTCTTATGAGGGCTAAGATTATATCTATATTAACTTTTTCTGAGTTATCTTATTATACATGTTTTGACTGCTCATGTTTAAAATTTCAGAGAACAGGAACTCCTGAGTGGCTCAGTCAGTTAAAACTCCAACTTTGGCTCAGGTCATGATCTTCTGATTCGTGAGTTTGAGCCCCACGTTGGCCTCTGTGCTGACAGCCCAGAGCCTGGAGCCTGCTTTGGATTCTGTGTCTCCCTCTCTCTCTCTCACCCTCCCCTGCTGTGTGCTTGCTCTCTCTTTCTCTCTCTCAAAAATGAAATAAACTTAGAAAAAAAATAGGTAAAATTTCAGAAAATGAAAAATATACACATAAAGAAGAAAGTGAAACACTGTTGCCCCAGCATCTAGAGAGAGTTGCTGTCGCCCCTTTGGCACATGTCCATCAGAATCACTTTCTATTCACTTTGGTTTTCCACTGATGTATGTATTTGTATGTACATAGGTCTGCGTGTTTTACCATTTTAACTTTTTTATGGTGACAAAATACACATGACGACATCACCTTAGCCCTTTGTGCATTAAGTATGTTCACACTGTTGTGCAGCCATCACCACCATCCATTTCATTCTGTAAATCATCCCATTTCTTTCTTAACCCCATGAGGTTGGCGTGGAGAGGCAGGTTTGCAGAGTGGTTAAGAATGAGGTCTTCGCCATCGTCCAGATTGAAATTCTACCTCTACCCCTGAGCAGCTGAGATATTGTGATTCATAGTATGAAATATATATTTGGTCTTCATCTCTGTTCCTGGCACGAAGGAGATTGTAAGGGTTTTGGAAGCTAAATGATGAATAATAGTTGGCTTTTATTCTTGAGATAACTTGAGAGCTAGAAAGGTGAAATTTCTGTGTTTTGTTGTTCCTAACAAGCCGTTTCAGCCAAGCCAGAGTTGATATGAATGAGCTGACTTTTGAAAAGCCCCTGAAGATCCAATCCAATCAGAGGAGCCAACGTTGATTAGAGGGTTCGAACTTTCAGGCCCTCTACGCCAACCCAGGGGCCATTCATGCCTGCGTAATGGCCAGTGATTTGAGCCGTTGTGCCTCTGTAATGAAGCCTCCATCAAAACCCAGAAGGACAGGGTTCAAGGAGCTTCTGGGTCGGTGAACGCTTGTCGATGGGGAGAATGGTGCATCCAGGGAGGGCGTGGAAGCCCACACCCTTTCCCACATACTTTGCCCTGTGCACCTCTTTGGTCTGCTCTCAGGAATATCCTTTTGGAATAAACCAGTAATCTATTAAGTAAATGTTTTCCTGCATTTACCACTTGAGCGAATTAATTAAGCCTGAGGATTAGCTGTGGAAACCTCCACAATTTATAGCCATTTGGTAAGAAGCATAGATTACCCTCTGGATTTGGGATTGGCATCTAAAGTTGAGGCAGTCATATGGGACTGAGCCCTTAACCTGTGGAATCTGGAATCGGACTCTCCCTGGGTAGATGGCGTGAGAATTGAGTTAAATCATAGGACACCTAGCTGGTGTCACACAATTGCTTGGCTTGTGGAAAACCCACAGGTCTGTTGTCAGGAGGAAAGCAGTGTTGTAGTGTTGAGAGTCCTTATGCAGGGGGAGTGAGTTTTCCTCTATACCAGCTGTTTGACTTGCACAAATTTCTTGTGCAAGATGGGGACAATATAGTACCTGTTCTATAGAGCTGTTGTAAAGAGAAGTATTTACACTAAAGGTTAATATAAATCTCTAAGAACAGAACTTGATCCAAAAAAGCTTTCAATGAATGATAGCTATTTGTATTTCCATTTATTATTGTCCTCTGGCTTCAAGATAGTGTTTTAAGCTTGTTAACCTAACTTAAGCCTGCATCAGTGATTCTTTAGGTTGTACATTTTTTGTTCTCTGTAACATGATAAATACCTTGGATGTGCCTTTTTGCACACTGTTCATTGTGATACAAATATAGTAATTGATAATTTAAAAGATAGGTATTTAAAGATTTTAAATGTGCCTATTATCAAATTGTCATCAGAAAGGTTATTCTAATTAACATTCCCACTAATGTCCTTAAGTCCTCCCCACATCTCCTTATAGTGGTTAACGCAGGGCCTGGTTAATACTTCATGCTGCTAAGTATAGACTTGTCACTGGCTGATGGTTCATTAAACAAGTGACCCAGAACCATGAGAACCTAGAATAACATCAGAGGCATTTCATGGGAGCCCATCTACCCCCCGCCCCCCCCCCCACTGTCACCCTTCTCCACTCTGTATGATGGGAGGCCCAGGGTGAGCTGGGATGGCTTGTCATTGCAGGTGTCCGTGACATTCGAGGATGTGGCTGTGCTCTTTACGCGGGAGGAGTGGAGAAAGCTGGGTCCTTCTCAGAGAAGCTTGTACCAGGAAGTGATGCTGGAGAACTATAGTAACCTGGTTTCATTGGGTAAGGAAATCTGCCCCGTGGATGAAAAATTCAGAAATTAGTATAAGTTGGATAAAAGCCCCAGGTTATCAGGAACTTCTTTTAAGGGGTACCTGGGTGGCTTAGTCGGTTGAACACCCCAACTCTTGATTTCGATTCAGGTCATGATCCCAGGGTCATGGCATCGAGCCCATGCTCAGCATAGAGCCCATTTGGGATTCTCTCTCCCTCCCTCCGCCCCCTACCCCATTCACGCTGTCTCTAAAACGAAACCGAACAGTAACAAAAAACAAAAGAACCCATCTTTAGTTGAGTTTTGCCTTAGGTTTGTGTTAGATCACCATAAATAAATCTTAAACACATTTTCCCTCTTTAGGCATGGAATTGCCCCACACATAGAAATGAAGGAGAGGATATTGATAATCCTCCCTTTTTCTCTCTATAATTGCACATTAGAAGTTTCCTCAGAGTTCGGGTGTCATTTCACTGATGTTTCTGAGGTTTGCACGCACCTCTCTTAACAGAGGGCTTTTTGTTCACTGGACCTCCATTTACCTTTCTTGCTTGGCTTTCCCAGGGGTCAGCAAGCTCTTTCTGCAAAGGGCCAGTTAGAAGATATTTTAGGCGTTGTGAACTACATTTGGTCTCTGTAACATATTCAGACTCTTTTTTTCCTTTGTCCACTGGTCTTTGCTCGGAGGGCCATACATAAACAAACAGCTGTCTAGACTTTGCCTATGATACATAGTTTCCAGACGGCTACCATCTTAGAAAGGGAGCCAGGTGGTGTTTCCTCATTTTCAACAAGCTACTTTGTTCAAAATCCTTTCCACATACCTGTTTACAAGTACTAATTGAGTCTGCACATCTAACATATTCCCTCTTCTATGGAAAGCTAATGTTACTCCATTAATCAAAGCTGAAGATTTATCGTATTTCGCTAACATACACTACTGCGTAGCCACGTCCTCCAGGTCCCCACAACATGCCCTCACATCGTGGGGCACAGCTGGAGCAGCCCCCTAGAAGCTCTTGAGCTCAGGTCTGCAATGCTTCTTTGAGTCAAAACAAAACCAAGCCTTTTGTGTGTGTGTGTGTGGTGTGTGTGTCGCGCTCTCTCTCTCTTTTTTTTTTTTTGTCTGTGAGCAGGACTCCTGTTTTCCAAACCAAAAGTGATCTCCCTGTTGCAGCAAGGAGAAGACCCCTGGAGGGTAGACAAAGAAAGTCCTGGAGGCCCCTCTCTAGGTGAGTGGCTGGGACTGAGTAGCCCGGGAACTGCTTTGGGCAGCAGACCGTTTACTAAGTGGACGGTGGGGCTTGGAGATGCTGGTGGGGGAAGTTTCTCCGGGGCCTCTGTCTTCCAGATGTGGTGGGGAGGGGACACTGAGGCCCCAGGCGGGAGCCTCCTCTGTGGTAATCACCTCCCAAGTGAATCTCTCAGGATCTCCTCTCTTCTTTCCTGTTCTTGGAGGAGGGCGGCACCTCAGGTGTTCCGTCAGCAAACAGTGTGTTTGAGGTATGGCAAAGAATCCGTTCTGCCTGAGGCTCAGGGGCTGTATGTGAGAGAAGGAGCCGAGAAAGGAGAGGGTGTCAGAAAGCTGGCAGGGGCCACACTACCACGTGCTTTGACACGATTCTTGCAGATGGACTGTCCCATGGAGATAAGGATTTTAAACAGATGAATGATATGGTCTTGGTAGTTTAGAAAAATTGGCTCAATTCTGAAGCAATGTAGATGTCCTTAGATAAAGGCATGGCTTAGGACGCTGTGTCGAGTCCCTGCCCTGGCATAGAGCACCACGCCAGACAGAAGAGCACGCTGGTGTGGCCAGAGCTCCAGGGCAGGTCACGGAGCACGATGGTGATGTTCCAAGTGGAAAGCACCAATTGGTGTTTAAGGAAAATTCCATGACTGTTCGTACATATAATATGCATGGAAATGTAGAGAAAAGGGGACACACCTTAGCTGGTAGTTCCACTTGGAACAGAATCGAGACTGGGCAGGATGCAAGAGAGCTCTATTTGTATATAATCTTATTGCGTCACAGAGAATACATTCATGGGGTCCTTATATAATTTTTACTGGACCAAAGTGGGCCGGCTACTTGGCAAGGTGTAGACAGACTACACCAGGTGGAACTGCCTCACAGGGTCAACTTTTATTTGTACAAACAAGGAGATCGTGGAAAATAATTCACAAAGCCATGTCTCCAGGGACAAGGGAAAGAAGGCTGCTTTTATTAGGGCTTGGGATGGATTTAGAGAAAGGGATTCTAGCACCATAGAGAGGTGAAGGTCACTCTGGCACTGCTGATTGATCTGCTCAGGTGATCGACTCAGGTGGCCTCCTCAAATGTTTCTTTTTCTGTTCCAGCAGTTTGTAAGCCTGACCACCAGGCAGAAGCTTGTAGGAGTTTAGTTCCTAAGTTCAGGGAGTTAAGGTGGCAACAATTGGAATTTAATAAGAACGGTCACCTTGGAAGCATTGTGGGGGATAGACTTAAAGTGAAGGAAAACCTGACGTGGAACCTTCCGGAGACCCCTGCAGTCATGTAGGCAAGATGCTTCTAGTGGGGTCCAGGAGGGAAGACATGGGGCCCTCGGTTAAGGGCCCCCTGTTAAGGGTGTAGCTGAGTTCTCTGTGGGATGGGTCTCACTTGAGGCGCGAGTGGAAAGCTCCGGTAGAGATGCTGGTGGACAGTTGTTTGAGTCTGTGGGGACTCAGAAGGGACGTCAGGGAGCCCTGGGTACAAAGGTGGCAGCTGAAGCCTCGAACTGACCAGGTGGGGGCACAGAGCACAGGACAGAACCCCAGGAAACCTCATCATTTACGAGGTGGGTTAGGAAAGAAGAATCTGGCGGAGCCTGAGAAGTCATCAGAGGAGAGGAACGGGAGGCGACTGTCATGGCAGTTGGGGACAGAGAGCTGATGGGGGAGGGCGTGGGGGTCAGGGCTCTGGAGCATCTGGGTTCAAACCCTCACCCACGGCTTCCCTGTCTCATAATACAGGGTGAGTGAGCTCCACGCTGCACACTGGTGATGTGACATTGACAGAAAGACCCAGGTCCTGCTGGCTGGGGGTCACAGTCGAGTGGGGACACAAGTGTTGGGGAACTGAGCACAGAGAGGGTGTGGAATGACAACTGGTTAGGACCCACAGGAAAGATGTAAAGTGCTGTGAGAACATGCAGCAGGAGGGGGGCTGCGGGAGGAGACTGGTGGGCTGCACAGGGGCGCAGCCAGAGTGGGGCGGTGCAGCAGGAGGGGGTGGACCCAGCAGCAGGAGGGGTGAAGGTGTGGAGGGCGGGGGGCCATGTGAGCAAAGGCTGCCAGAGGAGGCGGGATCTGAGGATGCCGAGAGAGTCCAGGCTCAGGAAGGGGCATGGGTGCTGCAGAGAACGGAAGGCAGCAGGTGCTGTCGGGCGCCAGGAGACGGCAGCAGGGACCACATCCCACGGAGCCGGTGACACCCCGATGCAGGATTTGTTCTGCACGTGCAGTGCGTGAGGGGTCGGGAGTACCTGGCCACAGACCCAGGTTTACCCTCTGCAGAGATCAGCCTGCAGGCGACAGGGAGCCTGTTGGCATGGAAGTGGGGGCTGATCCCAGCTGTCGTCAGGTCCACACAGAGTCAGTGATGGTCCCCCACGCCATGGGTCCCACAGAGGACCTATAGGACAGGCTGACTTGTTCTCCAGCCCCCGGACCGGGGAGCCTTGTTCTCACAATAAGTTGAGGTTTTTTGATGTGGGACCCACCCTTGTATTTCTATCTTTTTAACGCTGATTTGTGAAACCAGAGTTCTGTGGAAGCTGACAGGCCAGCACAAAGTGATCAGGGAATGCAGCATCAGGGAACCAGTTGAGGGTGAGGAGGGGCCTCAGTGCCACTGTTGAGTGTGAGCCGGGTCTGACCTGAAAGGTCAGAGGAAGAGAAGAAGGAATCATTCCCTTTGCCCTGACCTCGGGAGCCTCTGATCCATGAAGGAATCTCTTGAGTGAAGTATTCGTTGGATTAAGGGGAATAGATGGTGTGACTGGAGTCCAAGCTGCCCTGAGAGGCTCTGGGGGCCCCTGGGTGGGGGGGTAGTGGTCCGGTCAGCCGCCTCCTCCAGTCTGGGGAGGTGTCCCTGAGGGCAGGCCATGGGTGGATGCCAGGGGAAGGAATGACATCACAGCTGACCAGTGTGTGCACGTCTCTGGACAGGATGATCCCCCTCCCTCTTCCCTTGGAGATGGAAGTCACGTGGGCCACCCTGGGCGTGCTGGCACGTGGCTGTGTGTCCTGCACCCCTGGGGCGCCTCAGAGCACCTCCCCCTCCCAAGGGCAGCTCACCCCCTGCATGCACAGGCGAGGGACCTGGTGTTCACGGAAGTGCCTCAGGCTGTTCACTCTAGACCCGAACCAAAACCTTCCCCTCGAGCAGCCAAGGACGGAAAAGCCCGTGCTTCTGGGGTACGGCTCCAACGTGATTAGGCCAACTTGTATATCATGAGTTTGCTTTACACCCAAATGTGGAAATATTCCTGAAATATCAAATTTTTAAATGCAGGGATTATCCAGGTAAACAGGTACCTCCAATGAAAATATCTTCTTTCCCATCATTTTCTCTTCCTTTGTTATCTCAATGCAAGCAGCCTTGTAGGGTGGCCTGAACCTGTGCCACCTGGTCAGCCCAGGGGTCACCTGGGGCCTGCCTTCCACCCACGGAGCAGTGCCGGGGCTGCCCCTGCATGGGGGGTGGGGTTGTCTCCTAATTTGCATGAAGATGCTGCCCTCCTTAGCAGCCTAGGGACCCAGCAGGTGGTGGTTTAGAGTCCATCTCTTCGGAGGTGCAGGCAGAGCCCAGGTGCTCCATGGCCGTGTCTGGTATGTTCGGGTCAGTATTGTCCTTGTCCCCTGCCCTCCCCAACAAGACCCCTGCATGGCCCTGCACCTCCCGCCTGCCACCAGCATCTCTTGTAGCTGCCAGAATGCTCTGTTAAAAGGTAAATCAGGCAAAACTTTGCGTGGCTTCCGTCACATGGAGCACAGTGCAGAGTCTCCAGAGTGGCCTCTGGAGCCTACACGGTCTCGCCTGGCTCCCCCTTCACCTTCCCCTCCTTCCACTCTGCCCTTCATCCAAGGACCATAATCACTGTGGCCGCCCCGCAGGGTCAGGCCAGCCAGGCAGACTCCCACTCCTGGCCCTCTGCTCTTGTCTTTCCCTCCCCATTCTTCTTCCTGATGACTGCAGGCCCACTGTCACTTCCTTGAGGTGGTGCTTTATTGAATAGATCCAGCTCAACTCTTGTTGCCCTCCCTCCACATCCTATATCCCCTTCAGCGTGCTCTGTTTTCCTCAGGGTGCTTCTCACGGCATGAAGCACATACTCATTCATATCCTTTCTCGGGATCATAAACTCCCTCTGGCGGGATTGTCTGATTGGCTCCCATTTCCCTAGTACCTAAAACAGAGTCTGGTCAGAGTAGGCTTCCAGTTAATGAAGACATGAATGACTCGGCTAGGTTGCGGGTGATAGAGACAGAAAGGAGTGAGCCCATCTCAGAGACACTTGGGAAATAAGAGAAGCAGGGCTTAGAGATGGATTTGACATGAAGATAAAGTAGGTGGGTTATCAGGGAAGCTTGGTTTCTGGCTCTTGGATGGTCAGTGGTCTCGTTTACTGAGATAGTGACCCCACAAGGAGATCAGATTTGGGGGATGGTAGAAATAGGTAGGGTCTTGGATGAATTAAGTTGTTTTGGGGTGACCCACTGATCCCAGGGGAGAGGTCAAATAACCTGTTAGATTTGGAGTAACACCCCTCAAAATATAGACTGTGTGTGAAATGTCAATATGGGAGACCCTGGTCAATACTGGGTAATTGAAATAGTGGGTAAGTTTGAATCAGCCTATGGACTTTGTTCTGAGTACGGTAAGAGCTAGAAAGAGCCTAGGACTCAATCTCGAGGAACTCTGGCATTAGGGCCTTCAACTGGTATGCGAAGGCATCAGGGGACAGTCTTGTAGGACTGAACCCTTAACCTGTGGGGTCTAATGTTGTCTCTAGGTAGCTCGCTGAATTGAGTTGAACTGTAGGACACTCAGGTAGTGCCTTCACCTGGGTTGTTGCGTGTTGGTAGTGTGGGAACCACCGCTCTCCCCTCCACGGGAATTGGCGCACAGCATTCAGTTAGTTTATAGGCAAAAATAACTTCACACAATAGGCAGGCCAGATCCGAGGACCCAGAGGTCGTCCTGTGGGACCAAGAGGGTCGTTGGCTTCACACAAGATAGAAATCAAACTCGAACAGAGAGGAAGTGAGAGCAAAGTTTATTGAAGATACAGAGAGAGCATAGATACAGAGTGTCTGAGAGACTCAGGAAAGAAGAGTGTGTCTCATCTTTGGGGTCCAAGGTTTCTACTGAGGACAGTGGTCTGGCGTATGTGTCCTCTCAGGCAGCCAGGGACAAGTGCTCAAGTGCCCTCTGTGAGTCACTTATTCCCTGGAGCCAGGGGTCTTGGGTCAAGGTGTCTCAAGTCACTAGTCTTTGAAGTACCTGAGGACTCCACCCCGACACCCCTTAGATGTTACTTGTTGTGCCGGAAGACTCCAAAGATAGCATTAACTCCTTGACCTTTACAAGGAGGACATAATTAAGGCACATGTGAGGCGTGGATGCACATAGAGGCAGGAAAAAAAGTCTTTCATGGAGTCCCTTCTGTTTCCCAATCTCAGTAAGCTTAAGTGATTATGTGTACAAGTAGAGTTCTTATCTTTGAGAAGTGTGTTCTGACATAGGATGGGTAAAATGACAAAGTATCTGGGATCTATCTGGCCCCTGGAAGAGATGTAGGGTGTGCAGTAGTGTATTCAGCCTGCTCTAAGAATCCCACACTGTGTGGCTTCACCAGAAATTTAGGGTGTCCTAGTTCTCGAGGCTAGAAAGCCAAAGTTGAGGCATTGACGGGCCACGCTCCCCCTGAGACTCCGTGGCTCTGGGGGTGGCCCAGAACCCGTGTTCCTTGGCTTACAGCTGTGCCACTCCAGTTTCTGCTGCTTTTGTCACTTGGTGTTCTCCCTTTGTGCCTTCACATGGTCTTGTCTCTGCATGTGCCTGGGGACACCAGTCATACTGGATGAGGACCCAGCGATCACATCTTAACTTGATTAAATCTTCAGACACAGTTTCCAAATAAGGCCACACTCAGAGTTACTGGAAGTTAGGACTTCAGCCTAGCCTTTTGGGGGACACCGCTCAACTCCTTAACAAGGCAATAGATGAAACAGCATCAGTGACGGCTGAAGCCAGCTTGGAAATGCACTGTGCAGCTCACTCTACTTTTTGTAGATGTTGAACATTTTCCATAATAAAAAGCTTTGAAAGTTAGAATTAGCAACAAAATTTCGAAAACAGCATTTCTTTTTCACACACATGGAGGAGGTATATAGATGTGCATACTACCCCGTCGTGACATTCTAATTCCTAATTAGCTCTCTTTTACCTTTTTATATTTATGCCTAGCCTTGCTGTTTATCTTTGATGCTTTTATACACTGTCTGCATAGCCTCCTTTGCTTGATGCATGAGCAAGGCAGCCTTCCCAGCTTCTCACACCTTTCTAGCATCATGCCTACCAGTGGCACCTCTAGATTAACTCTGTAACGCGTTCCTGTTTGGAGTGACCATGAGTGTGATCACCCATATGATGAACTCCCACCACCCACATCATGTCCTGTCCTGGAAGGTAACTTCAAGTGCTTGAATCGTGTGTGTGTGCGTGCGTATGGTTGTGTGTGTGTGTGTGTGTGTGTGTGTGTGTGTGTGTGTGTGTGTGTGAGAGAGAGAGAGAGAGAGAGATATGGAACTGAGAATGTTTGACATTATTCAAATCAGGAATATGTAAGTAATTAAGGAAAAGTAACAAAACATTTCATATAGAATTCAGATGCCCTCAGGAGGATCTGTATATAGGGCATGCTAATCTGCTTGCAGAGAACACTTGTGGTACAAAAGGAAGTCTAATATATTTAGATATGGGTAGGTATATAATTTATATCTAATACAAAGGTATGTAATATAGGGGTTCCTGGGTGGCTCAGTCAGTTAAGTGTCCGACTTCAGCTCAGGTCATGATCTCATGCAAGCCACACGTAGGGCTATGTGCCGACAGCTCAGTGCCAGGAGCCTTCTTAGGAGTCTGTGTCTCCCTCCCTTTCTGCCCCTCCCCTGCTCATGCTGTCTCTCTCTCTTTCAAAAATAAATAAACGTTAATTAAAATAAAAAGATATAGAATAAATATTTTAAATATTGTGGTAAGTGCTATAATAAGGGGAATGGAGGTGGAAACTCTGTCAAGAAAGGACTCTGTTAACTTCTGAACTGAATCTGAGGTACAGAAAGGAATTTGGCATGAGGGAAAGTGAGGAGGACTACAGATCAAGAAGAGTATGCACAATGAAGAGAAGGGTCATGAAAATATTTTTGGAGTCTTTCATGGCTTTGGACTCTGATCCCAGTCTGCCTTTCTGAATTCATGCTCTCCCGATCACTCTTACACTCACTTTCTTTAAATAGGTTTGTTTTATTTTCTCCACCCTAGTACTTTAGTTCCCATTAATTCTTCTTCTATATTGCTTAAGTCTTACATTTTCCTCTTATGTTTTCCTCTTACATTTGGCCAGATACCAAGACCTTATTTAAATACCATCAATACTTACATATATTTTCTACATTTGGTCTCAGTAGCCAAATATGATATCACGGTTTTTTCTTCCCCTCCAGGATGGAAAAGCTGTCACAAAACCACGAAGTCAACTCAAACGCAAGATTCTTCATTTCAGGAGCTGGTAATGAGAAGATCCAAAAGGAATGGACCCTGGGACTTTAAATCAGAAAAACCCTGCACTTATGAATACAGATTAGAGAAAAGGCAAGAGAAAAAAGAGAGTGTTCAGACAGTTTTAGTCACCCACAAAAAAATCCTCACTGTAGAAAGAAGCCATAAAGATACTGAATTTGGCCAAAAGTTCAGCCCAAAGTCAGTCCTTGTTAAGCAACAGATGGTTCCCAGAGAAGAAACACCACCCAAATGTGAAATGCAAGGAAACCGCTTCAAACAGAATCCGTATTTACTTAATCAACCAAAAACCAACACAGCAGAGAAACGCTATAAATGTAGTATATGTGAAAAAACCTTCATTAACACTTCGTCCCTTCGCAAGCATGAGAAAAACCATAGTGGAGAGAAATTATTTAAATGTAAAGAATGTTCAAAAGCCTTTAACCAAAGTTCAGCTCTTATTCAACATCAAATAACTCATACTGGAGAGAAACCCTACGTATGTAAAGAATGTGGGAAGGCCTTCACTCTTAGTACGTCCCTCTATAAACATCTAAGGACCCATACTGTGGAGAAATCCTATAGATGTAAAGAATGTGGTAAATCCTTCAGCAGAAGGTCCGGCCTTTTTATACATCAAAAAATCCATGCTGGAGACAATCCCCATAGATATAATCCGGGGAGGAAGGCATCTGGCCTTTCTGGGTGTCAGAGAATTCACCTCAGAAAAAAGTCCTATTTATGCAACGAATGTGGAAATACCTTCAAGTCCAGCTCATCCCTGCGTTATCACCAGAGGATTCACACAGGAGAGAAACCTTTCAAGTGCAGTGAATGTGGGAGAGCCTTCAGTCAGAGTGCGTCTCTTATTCAGCATGAAAGAATTCACACTGGAGAAAAGCCCTATCGATGTAACGAATGTGGGAAAGGTTTCACTTCCATCTCCCGACTTAACAGACACCGAATAATTCATACCGGTGAGAAGTTTTATAACTGTAATGAATGTGGTAAAGCCTTAAGTTCCCACTCGACGCTTATCATTCATGAAAGAATTCATACTGGAGAGAAACCATGTAAATGCAAAGTGTGCGGGAAAGCCTTCCGGCAGAGTTCAGCTCTCATTCAGCACCAGAGGATGCACACCGGAGAAAGACCCTACAAATGCAACGAGTGTGGGAAGACATTCAGGTGCAACTCCTCCCTTAGTAACCATCAGAGAATTCACACAGGAGAGAAACCGTATCGATGTGAGGAATGTGGGATATCTTTTGGCCAGAGTTCAGCTCTTATTCAGCATCGCAGGATTCATACAGGAGAGAAGCCCTTTGAATGTAACACGTGTGGGAAAACTTTCAGACAGAGCTCATCACGGATTGCCCATCAGAGGATTCATACTGGAGAGAAACCCTATGAATGTAATACATGTGGGAAACTTTTCAACCACAGGTCATCTCTTACTAATCATTATAAAATTCATATTGAAGAGAACCCCTAGAAAGTAGATTTGCATGTGCAAAAGCCTTAAACCAAAGCTCCTCAGAATACATGAGTGAAATAACAAATGTCATAGATAGGAAAAATCTTCCTGTCTAGGAAAAACACAGGCCTAATCAGATACCAGATTCCAAGGATAATCCTAGACTATGTAATAGATAGTGAGGAAAGTAGAAAGCGTTTGTGCCTGTCAGGCACTTTTTAAAATAACCTAAAATGAAGAATTCACTACTGGAGACCCTTCAGGCATTTGTAAAATAATTATTCTCTTTCTACAGCAGTGTATGCTAAAGGTCATATGTGATTGTCATAAACATCTGGGTGAGGGGAGGTGTGCCCTGAATTTCTCATTAAAAAGCCACTTCTAAATCGGTAATCTTTTTTTTTTTTTACAACACTTCAATAGCATATAAAAGATGTTATCAAATTATACACTTCTAGAGAAAAGGACCAAATAAAAGATTAAAAAAGAACTATAAACTACCTCTCAGGTTTCTGGGGTTTGTCCTTTTCCTGACCTGGTGTCAATTCTGTGCATGGATTTCGTTTACAAGTAGAAATAAAAGTCTCTTCTCTTCATCCTTGGTTCTTCTAGTAATTGCTGTGAATTGAGGATTTTCTAACCTATTGCACATTCTGTTCTCAGAATTTATTTGTTTTTATTTAGCTGTGAGGTCGTTCCTTATAAAAGTTTACCTGGTATACACAGAGCTGTCATCCTGGGTACATTAAATGGGAAAATAAGCAATTATTTCAAATATAAATCTATTAAATATATATAAATTCGCAGAAGGAGCTAGCCAAAAAAGTTTCATGAAATACCTGCGCCAAGAGATTGAAAGGTATGTCAGTCATTTCATGACATAAGCTGACTTCGTTTGCCCATGTGTCACACAATTTCAGGAAAACAAAAAGCAGTGATAATCAACTCAGGTTATTTTTTGTTGTTCTTTATTTTTTTACCCTTCCTTTGGGGCAGGTACTATATTGCACACTGTTAAGTCTTTTTAGAAAAAAATTTAATGTTTATCTTTTGAGAGAGAGGATGTGAACGGGGAGGGGCAGAGAGACAGAGACAGAGGATGTGAACTGGGAGGGGCAGAGAGACAGAGACAGAGGATCTGAAGCAGGCTCTGTGCTGAGTGGAGAACCCGATGCAGGCCTCAAATTCACAAACCGGGAGATCGTGACCTGAGCCAAAGTCAGACACTTAACTTACGGAGCCACCCAGGTGCCACTATACACTGGTAGTCTTAAGAAAGCCACAACTCGGGGCGCCTGGGTGGCTTAGTCGGTTAAGCGTCCAACTTTCACTTAGGTCATGATCTCGCGGTTCGTGGGTTCGAGCCCCGCGTCGGGCTCTGTGCTGACTGCCAGCTCAGAGCCTGGAGCCTGTTTCAGTCTGTGACTCCCTCTCTCTCTGACCCTCCCCTGCTCACACTGTCTCTCTCTCTCTCTCTCTCTCCTAGAAATAAATAAAACATTAAAAAAAAAAAAAAAAAGAAAGCCACAACTCAGAGATGCCATGAATTTGGGGAAAGGAGATGGAAGGGAGTTGAGAGAGAAGCAGATGAGGAAGCAAATTATGTCACAGTATGTAAATGTAGCTCTAACAAGCAAATTGATAAATTATTACAGTGCATTGTAGTACAAACATGTTAGGAATTTGCACAGATTGAAGAAAGAAGAGATCGAACCTAGCCAAGGGAACCTGGAGACCAAGCTTTCGAGAGACAGTGTGCCTAAGCCAGACTTGGGAAGAATTGGAACTCTCCGGAGGGTGAAATGACCATTCTAAATAAGAGGAGACTACACCCTGCGTAAAGGTACATGTCAGTAATAACAAGGACACCTTTGTGGAAACTCAAGTACGGAACTGATGAGTAACAGAATGATCTGTTACAAATTAGAGTCACACACCAATGCCAGAAAACAAAAGGCCTATTTGCCATGTGACAAAGTTAGAATTTTATCCTAAATTGATGGAATCAATTAAAGATACTAAAGGAAGGGCACCTGGGTGGCTCAGTTGATTTAAGTGTCTGACTCTTGGTTTTGGCTCCAATCATGATCTCATGAGTTTGCGGGATGGAGCCCTGCACTGGCTCTGCACTGATTGTGTGCGATGCCTACTCGGGATTTTCTCTCTCCCTCTCTGCCCTTCCCTCTCCTCTCCCTCAAAATACATAAACATTAAAACAAAAATTTTTTAAAGATATTAAAGGAAATTGTTCTAGCAGTGATGTGTAGAAGATGAATTTAGGGGGTTGAAGAAAGATGGACACCTAGAAATCTGGGCTGTGGTAATTCACATGATCTGTGAATGAGAGACCAAACTCACACAGGACAGATGGATGGAGAGCAGAAGGCAGATGATGTATTGAATTAAGAAGATGTGGTGTTCCCAAGCAAATAAATGAGGCTGGTGAGTGAGAAGATGCTAAGCTGACCCAGGTAGTGTTGCCAGGCATGTTGTATATATTGGATATGTCTTGTATTTAATGATTTTGTCCTGCATCCTATATTGACTTTGTCAGGCCACCCTTAATGTAATCCGTTGTGGTGGGTTTTTTTTCCCCTTTCCCCCAATAATGAAAATTCAGCTCTTTTTCTGCTTCAGGAATTGGTACTTAAGTTGTTTAAACAGCAATGCTAGCTGAAATTCATATTTCCACAAATAAAGATCTAAACAGTCCCTTATAGTCCCCTGTATTTTTGGCTGAGGGAAGACCACAAGAAGGGAGAATGGCAAGTCTTGTTTCCCATATTAATTTTTTTTTCATGTTTATTTCTGGGAGAGACAGAGTGCAAGGAGAGGAGGGGCAGAGAGGGAGACACAGAATTTGAAGCAGGCTCCATGCTCTGAGCTGTCAGCACAGAGCCCAATGCAGGGCTTGAACTCATGAAACATGAGATGATGACCTGAGCCGAAGTCGGCCGCTTAACCAGCTGAGCCACCCAGGTGCCCCTCTCGTTTCCCACATTAAAGAAAAGATAAGACTTCTCTTTACCAAAGCCTCAAGTTGTAAACCAGTAATCACTGTTAATTAGAGATGACTTTGGATCAGTCGCATGCTCTGAAGATCAGTAACAGCAGCCATGCCTCTGAAAGTGAAGAGTCAATGACAGACTCCAGCTTCTGAAAGTCAACTTGTTAGTAGACCGCCCCATGCCTCTAGACAGTCAGCAAATGCCTCACTCCAGTGACCATAGAAAGTACGCCAGTCACCAACAGCCTTATTCCAGTGATCACACTAACAGTTGAAAGTCTGCTAATCTATAAACATGTACTTTTGAAAATCCACCAATCCCTAGACCAAGTTTTCCAAAACCTATATAAGATCAATTCTGACTTTCTTCAAGGAGGCTGTTCTTTCCAAATACAGCTTTTCCTTGCAGGCATGCATTAAGTTTACCTCTTCTGCATTATATGTCAAGTTCAATTTATTGTTAGCTTGCAACCATTTCAAGTTAATTGTTGAATCACAATTAGCTTATCATCTCGTCACATGAGTGGCAAATGCACTAATGAGGCCATGAAATGATCATATTCAATATTTTCCAATTCTTACAGTGATTGCTATCATCTGTGTCAGGATAAAATACTGCAATAATAAACATGTAATTGCTCCTTTTACTATTACAGGGATTATTAAAGATCTAAAATGCTTCATCTTATTTTAGCCCAAGATGCAAGTAATCACAAGACAGGAAAAAGTCATTTTGCTTTTGGAAGGTTTTTCTCATGAAAAAGGCTTGCTTAGAAGGCTATTGCAAGTAAAATCCCTCCTAAAGGAGACTTTGGAAATAGAAAATTTTTGCAGAATCTCACTTATTAAGTTAGGAAAATGGTACTGTTTTTGGTAGAGATAATACCAATGCAAATTTTGGTGAATGTGCTTAAGTGCAGACAGTTTATTCAAAGTTGAAATAGAGTATCATGGATTCTATGGAAGGTGTTGGTGAGTCTGCTCATACTCTGTATTTCTGCATAATACTGCCCTTTCTATTGACCCTGAAGTAATTATATGAATTGTTGCATCTCACTTCAGCTGTTAGACATTTGAGCAGTTATAGGATTTTTGTGATTTTGCTTGCATTCAATAATCATCAAGTGTCTAGCATTGAAAAACTCGGACTTCCAGTTTCAGCTAGGACATGTAAACAACCTAAAATTATCATTTCTATTCTAACCAGAAAAGCCTGCACAAGCTGAAAATCAAGGACTCTTCTTTCTGAGAACTTAGGTTACTGGGAAAATCACAAGGCTGATCTGGAGAGACAGACCTATCCAGAGAGAGACACAGCCAAGGTCTGCTTACTGGGAGCTGAAGCTGCTGGAGACACAAACATCTGGGGACATTTAAGTGAGAGTTTAGATGAATTGCTGAAGGTTGAGTGTGGACTAGCTTGAGAAGAAAGAACTTCTATCACCCACAGTCTTCAGAGGTCCCCCACATCTCCAACGCCATAAGCTCTAGAAATCCATTTGGATTTCCATGGTGGTGACCCGAGAAACATCCCCATGGGGCTCTAGCAAGAGAAGCATCACCATTGTTAAAAATACCTTGAGTCTTTTCCACTAAAGAACCTACTCTCCTGAGGAAAACTTTACCAGAATCTTATGCTAGTGGGATTAGGACATTTCTCCCACTTTAGTGCCCTCTAACCTTTCTGTCTAAGGAGAAAATACACAACAGGGACCAGGGCTTCAAGGAAACAGATTGGAAATGCTGCAACCAGGGGAGGGATATATGGTATGGAAGCCAAAAGTTACACCACTGAAGAAACAGTTGAGTCACTCCCGGCCCTGCACACAGGCCCACTAAAACTGAGACTCAAAAATGAGATTTAATTGGGACACTTAGGTGACTCAGTTGAGCATCCAACTAGATCTCAGTTTAGGTCTTGATCTCAAGGTCATGAGTTCAAACCCTGCATTGGGCTCCATGCTAGGTGTGAGGCCTACTTAAAAAAAATTCTTTTTAAAGATTTGAGGCATCTGGGTGGCTCAGTTGGTTAAGTGTCCAACGCTTCATTTCAGTTCAGGTCACAATCTCAAGGCTGTGAGATGAAGCCCCGTGTTGGACTCTGGGCTGAGCATGGAGCCTGCTTAAGATTCTCTTTATCCTCTCTCTCTCTCTCTGCCTCTCCCCCACTCACACTCTCTCTTAAACATAAAAATAAATAAAACCCTTTACAAAAGACATTTAATTGGAAGATTATACAATCACCCACCCACCCACAGCTTGCCACCATAGCAACAGGGCTTTGGTATAACAACACAGCAGACAGAGCTCCAAGACAGATTCCTTGAGGAGAGTTCAGGGAAGCCAAAGTCAAGAGTAGAGAAAAAATAAGATACAAGCAGAATTTGAAGCCTCTGGCACCTATGGTTGCCCAACTCCTAGCCACATTAACTAAATCTATTAGTGTATTAAAAAGAACAATATACCATGACTGAGGGAGGTTTATCCAGAAGTCAAAAGCTTGTACAACATATGAAAAATGCATATTAGTATTAAACTGCAATAGTATAATGAAGGCAAAATAAACACAGATTTACAAAATCTTGATGC